ATGGTATGCACACAAATGTGGTTAGCACGCTCGTACTTGGATTTGAACCGGTGTCTGCCGCAATTTGAAACATGTACACTTGAAATTAAGGACCTTAGAATCCAAAAGTGATCCTTCATTGATTTCTGTAGGTCATTCGGACCCGTGTCACAGTGAGGTTTCGAGTTTAACCTTCTTACTGAAACTTTCCATGCAGTATCATATCGCGGCACGATTAGAGATTGATAAGGCGCATTGCAACGTGCTGCTAAGCGTTAAAGTTTCACTGATTTATTCTCTACGTACCGTACGGACGAATCTTGAAAACGCGAAAGTCCTCTTTATCTACACTACGGAAGTGACTTGATGAGCTTTAGGTGCCTGAACTTAACAAGGTAGCTCTTATTAGTAATTACGTTCCTTTGGGAGAAGTGATACAAATGAACGCAAAATTCCTCTCGTGGTATATACCCTAATACGGAGGTTCCCCTCACAGTGCAACCAGAGGTGTTTTCTCAAATCATCTACTTAAATCTGCCATATATTCCGATCACAGCTGGATGGGAGTTTACAATCTTCCGTTCAGAACGATCCAATCGAAACTGCGATAAACTAGCAAAGCAAATCGGAAACGCGGTGGTTATAGGAGATTGTTAACAGTATAACCCATGGGGAAAAAGTTCACCAACTATGCCATCTATTCCGTTCAACCTGCCTGAGCATATTTGCTAACAACAGCAAAGAATCCAGACAAACTAACCTGATTCTGAAGGTACGTGAAGAGCCTGAGTGGACTGAATGCATACTTTCATCAGGTTCTTCGTACTACTGCAGAAAACACAGGCTCGAATCCAGTCATACAAACATAAAATGACTTTCCAAACTTATCATCCGGACGATTTGGAAAAAGCTACCGGCATACCATTGGTACCGTTATCGCTGCTCCAAATGTGCTAGCAAGATTTGTCTTTCGGCCCTCATTGAGGTGTTAGGGATTAGAACATCTTTAATTCAACCATATCAAACACTTCGACTGTTTCAAAACATCTCACATCCATCCAGCTACATACTTTAAAATCGTCTCGAGGCGACGTGCGCAAGCCACGTTAGCACAGGTGAGGCATTTAACTATGTCACCGCCCCTGAAGCCATACCAGTTGGATGCTCCGTTAGGCATAACCCATTAGTGGTCGAATTTTGCAAAAATGCGAATAGCTGTTAACATATCAAGTATGATGAAGTTCAAAGCAATGTTTTCGGGTCTCGTACGAGCTACAGGTTCCACAGACTGAATTCCTGGAGGAATAGATTATCATATTGTTGCAGCTTTCTTTAGACATTTCTTCCGTTGTTTTGATAGCATGTATTGGTTTACCACATCTTCACCTTGGATAATGTTACATCCATGTGTACACGTAGCAAGAGGTTGATGCTACGTACCGCTTACGGCTACTGCTATCCACAACACAGCGAGGCTTCGCGCGCAGGAGCATCCAACACACTGCGAACGGTCATCCGTCCGTTGCACAACGAGAAGAACGGTCTCTCAGCATGTTGGCCACAGTTTCAGTGTCACACCGGTTCACTGAAAACCGCTGCGTACTGCTAGCTTCCAGTGAATTCACTGTTAAGAACAAAATAACACCTGTTGTTTTTAGTTTGATGACGACTTGCGTGCTCCATAAGATACCCTTGTGCCGGCTGAGTTTTCCATGACTTGGGCTTATTGGGAATCGCCCTGCAGTTTTTGCTCATAATTCTCGCAATAGATTTTTTTGCTACAACTTCCAGGTCACATTAAGACTGGTAAAGTAGTTGCCTGTGGTAACATCATAGTTTTTATTGGGAAGGCTAATCATGAGTCGATCGGCTGAAGCGCACCGGTGCATTCAAACAACTAGCTTGAGAGCTAGACACATCACGACAAACTGTCGGGGTATGCAGATACTTTCGGATCAAACACATATATTGTGACTGATCCCCCAAGCCTATTGCCAGTGGTAGGTAAGTTAATCGTGGTGCTGGTCGGTCGGTCCACTCGTCTCTGTAGGCTTGGAATTGGACACGGCAAATGCAAAAAGGGATTGATAGCGCAAGCGGCGGTCTGTGAGTGAATAGGCTCCAATCGGGCCTTGGTGAATCACTCACATACTTGGTTTGGTGGCTTGAATAGCCTATTGTCTCTGTTACCAAGTTGAAAATTGCATGGTACAGCGCAGAGGTTCATCTACGTACCACGCAACCCAGGCGATCAAGTGGAGTGGAGCGTGGAATGCAAGTATGAAACTCGATTTGTATGAAGTCGTGGAAACACAAGCACCCAACCTGAGGTAAAAAAATCAAGTGTTTTACACAAGCAACATGTTCTTGTGATCACTTGAGAAGTCTTCGTGTTAGTTGATCCGCGAAAGCCGACCTAGACAACAGAATTAATTAGATGAACGCATCAAAGTTACTTCGTTATTGGTTCTCCATGCACTCACCGTAACATGGATTGCTCAGTTTGAGTTTCAGTGCGACTGTTAAATGAATGGACGAATTATCCATTTACTGAAAGACGTGTGGGGGGAGGTGATACCACTACTACCCCTGTGACCGCATGTTGGACGGCTGTTAGCTACCGGGACACCGAGTGGCTAATAGTAACCTCCGCTCCAGCTGACAAAATATTATTCCTCATTTGGTACCTTCAATGCATGGCTTCAACTATCAGGTCGCGAATGAGCTACATGTGTGACTGAGTGCAATCTTGTAAGCATACCTGATTTGATGGGAAATGCATTTCTCAACCGGTGCCTGTAATTCATGTGTTCATTATGGGTGAGTTAGATCAATTGGTGAGATCTTTCCAATTTCCCAATTCCTGGAACGTACTTGTGTGTTACCTAATGACCGAATTCAATTATCCATTCGTCTGCATACTAAATGGGAGAAAATGCAATCGGGGTCAGTTCGTTGATTACCTAAGCTGCCAACGGTCCATCGGGCTTCACGTTAAACTCTTGTTTGTAACTTTCTTTTACCGATAGCGCAGCACAAAATCTCTATCGACGTTCAGTTTGGCCAATATTCACAACTTCGGAATATAATTTTTTCCATTATTTGATTTTACGGAGGATGTACGCGTCCCGGGGTTTCTGAGACAAAACAGTTACAAGGTTGTTCCGCAGTAAGTTGTGGACACCATCGGTGGTGGAATTGCGTTGAGGTTCGAAATGCGTTGTCGTTCTGCGTGAATGGGTTGATATAGGATATACTGAATGACAAGCAATAAGTCAAAATCAGCCTGGGTGAGCAGACTCTATATCAACCCATGAACTTGCAAAAAACACACTACCACCCACAATGTACTGATTACGTCATCTCGACTGGTTACGAAACGTTTAAGGCCAAATCGCTCGGCTAAGCGAACACATCAACGGGCATAACTAAGCTTACACGAAGATGATTACGCGCGCGAAGATTGAGCGGTGAAGAATAGAGATTTATATTATCAGGTCCGGCCATCCCATCCGGTGGTGACCAACCTTCTTATGTCTCATTTAACCCACCACATAGCTGTCGAACAAGCTAACTGAATTCGAACGATCGCACCAGTGTGTCATGGGGAAAAGGTTCAAATAAAATAAACATTTGCAATCCATCACACTGTCACAACCGGGAGAGATACGGGTGTTCGAATTAGAAGGTGAGGATTTCCTCCCCATATCTTGGAGAACAATACTGGGTTTGGAGGAGACAATCATACTGTGTATCGTTGTTTCGGTCACATAAAGAGCATACCACCTTAGTGAATGGTGCGGTCGGCTACAATCAATTCACGAACTTGCAACACCGACTATTCGGAGCTCGGAGTTGATGGTAGGATTTCGCATCACATCAACACGACAAATATCGCTTTTTGGGTATTAAGAGTGTGAAAGTGAAATAGTTTATTTGTTCATAAAAGATACTACTCACAAGGTTGCTGAAAGCTCTTCGACAGCCCACGACCGGTTTCGCCCTTCTCGGGGCTCATCAGGTAGGCGAAGTCCCCGAGTTTCCGTCAACCTGAGGTTCTACTTGAACCCGAATTGGACTGTTTTCGAGAAATACACTCATTTGCAAATCAATTTGGTTTTCACGAGAGACTCAACTGAATCTCTCGCTTGTGATATTCTACAACCGAATGTGCTGCACACAGGCCGCCCCATGTTTCAGTTGGCGCGATATTCGAGATATCGCAGTATATTTTCACAAAGGAAACTACTCACAAGGTTGCTGAAAACTCTTCGACAGCCCACGACCGGTTTCGCCCTTCTCGGGGCTCATCAGGTAGGCGAAGTCCCCGAGTTTCCGTCAACCTGAGGTTCTACTTGAACCCGAATTGGACTGTTTTCGAGAAATACACTCATTTGCAAATCAATTTGGTTTTCACGAGAGACTCAACTGAATCTCTCGCTTGTGATATTCTACAACCGAATGTGCTGCACACAGGCCGCCCCATGTTTCAGTTGGCGCGATATTCGAGATATCGCAGTATATTTTCACAAAGGAAACTACTCACAAGGTTGCTGAAAACTCTTCGACAGCCCACGACCGGTTTCGCCCTTCTTTGGGCCCATCAGGTATGCGCAGTCCCCCCGTTTCCGTCAACCTTATGTACTACTTGTTCACTTATGCTGACTTAACAACTGAATGGAAGTGAAAGAAGTGGAGAAACGAGTGGTCCTAACAGGGCTTCGCGCGGTTAGAGAAAAAAATCCGTAATCTAACATCGAATACATGTCTTAAAGGCTTGTCTGTGTCAAAACGGCGGTCATATAAAAGTAACCAATTCTAGCTTTCAGTGATGGTTTGAAAAGGCTGATGATGTACTTTGATGCCCAGGGCTATTGATCAGCTTCTCTGGAAAGGCCATAACGAACGAAGTTCACGACGACCGGTGTATGTGTGGATCATGTCTTTTAGACCTACAATCGAGCTTCATCGTCCCGCACCTTCGCAATCAGAAAAGAAACAGAACATGGTTCGTGGTTTGTAAAGAATCTGAAGGAAATTATACAAAGAGAGAATTATTTACAACTCTGGCTGTGTCCATTAACTGAAAAAATCGATATCCGGTTCGGTTTGTTTGACTCCTGACATGTATTTTTCTTGAGCAAGACCAATCCAGTCCGGAGTTAGTTCGACACCCGAAGCTGAATGCATCAGAGCCTGTAAATTCCGCTGCTCATCTGGACCGAACACATATCCGTTCGCTCGATCAGCGTAGCGCATTACTCGCTCTAAGTGGGACACATTTTGAATGTCCAACAGCAAGAACTGAACCAAAGACTGATCTTGAATGATACTGATGAGGGCCTGATTCAACCGTTCATATTTGGCCAAAAATGGATCATTGTTCTTGTTAATCTTATCGACCAAGTATTGTAGATCCAAGACTTCGGTGAAATAGTCCAAGTTAAACTCCAATTCGCCAAATTGTTCAATTAAATCGGCTTTGCTCAGGATGTTGACATGTGGAAGGGATAATTGCAACATAGTGGACAGAGAGGTGAGGAGACAAGAGATAAACTTTCCCGGATCGGAACAGTAATGAGAATCCACGAGGTGAACTGCTGTCAATTGGAGCCCAAGACCTTCAACAATCGTCACTGATTCACCCTTCTCTCCAGGATTTTGGTGAGTTTTCTGAGTTAGATAAGCGATCAACTGACGTGTTACAGGATGATGAGTGTACAGTTCAACCTGAAAAGAAAAAGGGAAACAAACTGGATTGTTTAGAGCTTACGTACAATGACTGAAATACAACGATGCAACAAGGTACATAAACGATGTGCCCGCATTTCCGAAAAAAGATAGGTCTAGAAGTCCCACGGTAAAGCCTTCCCTACAAAATAGCTTCCAGGCAAGAATATGTTTGTCTCTTCTTGTGTGCATTTTCTGAGTCCAAGGTTAACAATAGACCTTTTAACGAAATCCTCTGTTGATAACAGGTCAGCAATCTCCTGAGCCAGGAGACTTGGCTTTAAAAATGTCTCCGAGCGGCAAGCACCTTGCAGCTCTACGAAAATTGCGGCTCAGTGCGCGTAGAATAAAACGCATTAAGAGTAGAGAATGAATATTTGAAAATGACATAACTGAAGTGACGGCAGCACCGAGCTTTTAACATATCGCAGGAAAAGGAAGTTGAACCATCTCGATAGCTGCACATGAAAACGATTGGAAATTTAGAGCGGTTTGGTCACCACTCATTAGTGCAACAGTTTACATAACATCTGCATTACTCTGAGGGATCATAGTTATCAGCAAACTCTCAATAGATCAATGGTGAAGGTGAAAACCGGTGATCAAGGTGCGCGTGGCACAAACCAACTCTGGTTTCGAATTGTACGTGTCTGGAACTTATGAAACCTGGAGGAAGCTCAATCTGCTTCTGACCGGTCGCACAGTGCGGTTGCACCCACTACCACCCCCACGAGAGCGAACTTACTCGGACTGGCTTTTTTAGGACCTCGAAAAATACACGATATTCGCTTGCCAAAATTTTTGTATTAAATGGACTAGTTAGATTCTGTGGTTTTAAAGAATCCAGAATGTTTGACTTGTCATTCCACACCAGCTTGTAACAGAATGGGGCATAAAATGGAGCGCACCTGAAGACGATTCTTACAAATCGCTTAGGTCTGTTTTATATATGGAGGGACGATTCAATCCATTTGGGCTAGGAAGCGATATATACATTGGTGGGGGGGGGGGCGAACCGACTTGAACACCTAGAAGAGGCGTTGTATGTTGGTAAACTGTTTGACAGCGGATATGCAGACAAAGCCAGGCTCATGTATTCCATGCTAATAGGCTCAGTTGGTTGCTTTTCGACCGTACAGAACCATCACTACATTGGTTTGACGCTTTGGTGTTTGACCCAATTTACAGACAATGAGATTATAAGGAATCCATGGAATTCCGAATTTCGGAAGACACGAGCGGACACGCACGTTCAGCTTGTCGTGTGGGTACACACGCATGCAAAAACAAAGCTCAAAAAGCTTGCGTTGTTCTAGTCTTTCTTCGGCGGACTGTCCAACATGAGCATGGGCAGAGATGGAGACACAAGCACAGTTTGTTTGTTTGGAGTTAGCTTTGAAGTTAAGTTATACACCCGAATCCCTCGTAAGCTCACCGAGAAGTATGAGTATCAATAGGATGGTGCGCAGGCAGAAATAAGAAAGATAAGCTTGAGCTTTTAGTTTGTTGTCGTTGATCGCTGTAATTGTTTTTTCATTGTCCGTAAGCGTGGTAACGGTGAAAGTGGACTACATAGGTACCACGGGACGATTTCTCACAATATGGGCTGTGCTACAGTCAGGAAAACCATCCAATTCATGAAGTGATAGAGCCAGATGCTTTTCCTCACTTCTAATCATACGTCACCATAGAGAGCTGTAAACATGAGCGCCGAAAAAATAGTCCTCACTACAACTCCTGCTATGCCATGTTCCCCTTGCTATCAGGCATCCGATAACTATTGGCTGCCTACAGACGGTGGGTAAGCTTGGTCAGTCAGAAAGGTAGGGTTACAGCGAAGTCAGCAATATTAATCCGTGAAGTTTTGGCGCTTGGATTTGCAGTCTTACGAACGACAGTGCAACTCGCATGTAGGGTCTTGGCCCCCTGCTGCGCCTATTACGAAGGGCTTGAGAGGCATGGGAGCTTGAGACAGCTCCCTATGGAGACAAAGGGAGATTTTCACAACTGAATTCTTAAGGTCACCACGGCATGTTCGAGGGGATACGCTAGAGGGGCGACAAGCACTGAGCTGCGAATGCTCGATCATGATTGGCTGAAGCTCAGACCAGCCACACCTTTGTTTGGCTCGTGGACACAAGTGACATCTGTCCAATCGATGCAGTGTTCGGTTATTTAGAGCGCATGGCCGCCGGACAGGCTCAATTAAGTTGTCACAATTGATGGGTAGGTGTGTGGGCGCTCCGCAATCACAACCGATTATGCCACACAATAGTATCAGTCTCCTTGTCTAGTTTAAGCACCGAGTGTGTTTAAAAGTGGACGTTTCTGTTTAATGACGCTTGCGGCATTCATTAACGACTGAAGCGTAGCAAGTGCGTCACTGCAATAGTTACGAGTTATGACAGATACTACCTAACTTTTACATTACCTGTGCCTAAACTATTATCAAAAAGCCCCCGAAAATACTGAAACTCATGTATGTACCTACCGAACTACTTCAAAAGTGGTCGAATATATGGATTGGATAGAGGACTTCCGGCGAAAGAAGGTTAGCTTCACTGACTAAGTGGCATACGTTCATAAGGCCCTGCCGATGGGCGTGTAGTTTATAAGAATTTCGCTGCCAAAAATGCTGTGGGCATAGAGTTACGAAGAAGGGGTAAGCCGAAATTTCACTTGGCTTTTCAATACTACTGTCCTTCAAATAACTTTTGTTCTACAATGAGTGCAGAAGTGGAGGTTGAGACTCTGTTGCTGCACCGGAGTTTTGGCGTCAAAATGCACCATGTCGGTTACGTTCTGAGTTTACTGTTGATATTTTTTCTTGATTTATATTACGCGATTGTTAAAACGCGTAGAAAGCGCAAACTCGCAACGGTCAAACCAGTTTGTCCATCCGGTTCATTTGGGAGCACATTTCGACTCTGTCGACCATAAAAAAATCATTCAGCTGTGACACCCTTCCGGTACCTAGCTGCCATGCCACCCGAAATAAGCACGAGGGCTGGGATACTGTCAGGTTGCCCAAGCCTAGTCGAGAGGTAGAGATCAGGTTCGAACCACGGAGGTCATTAAATTCGCGCTCTAACCACTTGATCCATCTCGCCCATCAGCTCGCAATTATACGGAACCCCATTGTTTTTCTCGCTTGTTTCAGAAATATTGATTGCCTGAGGCTGTGTTGACTGCGTTTTCCAACTCGATATTCCACAATGCCTGCACCACTCACAGGTTCGGTCCACAAATCATTCGGCATAGTCCAAACCTATCAGGGCACTGGAGTTGCCATGTCAAGTTCATCAGTCCAGGGTTGGGAAGGCTTAGCAACTCCACTAGCAAAAAATAGAGTCAGGCGGTGCCGTAGCCTGGGCCAAAGTGAAGGGCGTTAGAACGACCACAACAGCGAACGCAGCTAGGATAAATGAGTTGGCAGGTAATTCGGAGCCAAAACGATAGCAACCAACACTCGTGGGGCGCCCGTTGGATGATCATGACTTCGCTACCCTACCTCGTGTACCTGACAGTTCATGGCTCGAAAAAGCACTCGGCTCAGAGGCTGGTCCCACGTCATTGATGCAGTTTAGTTGTTGAGCCAGTTTCATGGTCTCGGTTTCTGGCATAGAAACTGCTGATGAACGGTTTCTAGAAGAATTCAGTCAGCCTAGAAGAGTCCTGTTCTCAGTGGGCGGATACTCAAGTTGAAAAGATACAGGCATCAAATAAAAAACTGACAGTGGTGTTCCAGTGTTAGTTCGTAATTGATGTAGTGTGGCTGAATACTATCAGAGGAAAAGCCCGTTCCGCATGGAGTTTCGTAGGATCCTATAAATCAGATAGCCCTAACATTACTCAGCACTAGCATGAAGTCACACATTCGGTTTTGTACACACAAGTGCGTCTTGCAAGGAGACAGGATACCACAACTGTAGATTACCCACAAGAGGTTCATAGGCCACTCCAGAGTACATTTTGCCCTTGACTGGGCGAGCTAAACCAAGTGTATATTCAAGTAGTAGGAAGATGTCATACCGTGCGAAAAGCAGCGCCAGATCGCTGGATGAAAGATCGGACGGCCAATACAAGGTACATGGAAAGGACAGCGGGAGTCGTTTTGCTACGAATTACGCTTGCGTTGGGTCAGTGGTTGGTTTGTAGTCTTCGGCCTGTCGAGCGTTTCGGTTGGTAGTTTGTTGATAGATTAGGCTAGGAAAACCGGAAAGCCGTTTAGAAATAGTTGGAATCAAGGACGTATTGTTCAGAAAATTAACTAAGATACAGATTGTGTCTACTCGAGTTCATCCAGCCATTCAGTGCGAGGTCGTTTTTCTGACTGAATCCAAGGTGACCGAATGCGGACATCAGGAATAGATCGAAAAACGACAACTTTGTCGATAAGAGGCTACTACGAGGAAAATATCATTTCCGCCTCTTCTAGAACATGAATACCCTTCAGGAGTAATCTCTCTGATCGAGTGGTCGAAAATTTTAAGGACAATGTGGAATTATGAAGGAATATATTCTGACGAATTGTTCAATGTTTTTTTGACCGGAGTTGCCCCCTCATCAGTGAAACTCCAACCGGATTTCCCTAATATGCATCCGTTGCTTCACAGTAAAAATTTTATTGACTGGACGTACTGGATAACTCCACTTCACATTATTCGTGGATTTGCTTGTTTCTAAGGCAAATCAATCAGAACTTTCAGTGACCCTAGAAATCAACTGAGAACGAACAATGTCACAGTCGACGAAGCCACAAAAGCTCACTGTAGAAAGCAGTGGCGTCTGCTTCCAGCATAGGTTTATTTAGTTTCAAG